AGACTGGCTTATTCACACAGAGGCAGCTCTCATCGGCTCTACAGCTACTGTCTCTACACCGCAGGTTAGACACCCTAGAGCAGCTCTGCTACTCTAAGCAGACACCAGCTCCTCTTCCTGCCCCAAGCACCACGTCCTACCGACCCCAGCAGACGCATCTGAGGACTCTGTACCTGCCGAGAGGGAAGCACAGCATTCATTGCCCCCACACACCGTTTTTTTCCCTCAGGCACTCCCTGCTACTGTCCTGCACCCTGCTGCCGTCGTGGACCCTGCTGCTGTTGTAGAACCTGCTCCTATCATAGACCCTCCTCCTGACGTCGCCCCTGACCCAGTCATCCCAGCCAGTGACCATGAGGACGCTGCCCCTGCAGCTACAGGAGCGGAACATTCATCGCCCCCACACACCCTTTTTCTCCCTCTCTACTCCCACAGATCTCGTGTGTCTAGACAGTTGTCTCCCCTAGCGGCCGGCTCATCCACGCCCTCGCCGTTCTGCCTCACATGTGCCATGCACCGCCCGTTCTGCCTCACATGTGCCATGCAACCCTGCAGACAACAAGTCTCCTACACCGCCTGGAGGGAAGGGGGAGTATTGTAGTGGATTCCTCTCCTTCAAACGCTGTTTGTCGCTGAGTAGCCGACCCTGCGAATTCCCCAGTGTATGCCTCGTGGTCTCGGTCAACCAGCGCCGCCTTACATGACGGAGGTCAACTATTAAGCCACGCCTACCTCCGCTATATAAGACCTGACCTCGTGGTGACCTACCTCTCTTTCTACCTACAGCCAGTCTTCAAGTAACACCACCTCCTCCGCTCCTGCCTGGCGGCCCTCGCTCCCGCAGGCGAGCATGGCGACCCACAAGCTGGTCCTCTGAGCACCCTCACCAACCAGCTCTCTCTACTCAACGCTTGTAACCATGCTGCCTTCCCAGCACCAAGCTGCATTGTACATCCACTACAACATGTATACAGAGAGCACATTGTGAGTTTCCTTTCTCCATCCCATCCTGAGTATGAACCAACATCCTGTACCCCACAGGGTAACGAAGATCCCAGATACAGTAATTATATTAGAATAGTCCTCATAATAGTCCTCATTTAGTTTTATAAATTTCTGAATAATAAACACTGCATTATACACCATTCAGAGTGTTTATATGAGATCACATTAGATTTGTATTTTATCAATTGTAATTTGTATTACTTTTCGATAATACTGAATAAAAGAAACCCAAAACATTCCAACAATTATATTTTGACAATACATAAAAAAATACAAATATTTAAACGTTTAGAAGCATAACTAAGCACAAGAAATATATACATGACCTTATTTTACGCATTGTAACATGGCTTGAGTTGTGACTCGGCAGAATATAGTTCTGCTAAAGTATCGCTAGTAAAATGTAGGTAAGGAAATTAAATACATCTGCAATTTATTTCTGTGTATTCTATATGGTGTTTTAGCCATGGAAAAGCGTATTTCCTAAAGTCGGTAATTTACCGAGAGTCGGAGCAGTGACGTCACGGCTTACGGACTACGTTATCAATTTACCGATTAGCAGACGAATTACCGGATTTGAACCAATCAGCGTGTTCGATAAACAAGAGTCGGAAATTCCGACAGTCGTGACTCACGACTGGATTACGTCAGTCAACATTGTGCATGCGTGATGCACCGATAACATCTCACAGACGAAGACTGAAAACTATTAAAATCAATTAAATTAAATAACGTCGCTATTATCAATTTCCGCCATGTATATATGTGATTCAAAATGCTCAGAAAAGGGATATCTAAATGTTTCAGTAGTTTATAACTTTGGGGGCGCTATATCCGAAAGTAAAATAATACCTTATCCTCTTCACCACTGATTGGCTCGTTAGCCGCTTGGGTGATCGGTTACACACTGTTGGCAAGTACTGGGCATGCACTGGCTCCTGAATGTATCTGAACCTGCTCCAGTGCTTATCCAGTCTGGTTTTGAAAGACCTCACACTCGGTGCCGTTACCACACTCTGGCAGGTTGTTCCATGAATTCACAACTCTCCGAAAAAGTTACCCCTCACAGTTTTCTGGACTTGAGGCTTCTTTAACCTTGAGGTATGTCCCCTTGTGGGGCGAGCGTCTCTGTTACGCACTGTTGGCAAGTACTTGTCATGTCCTGGCTCTCTGTTACGCACTGTTGGCAAGTACTGGTCATGTACTGGCCAGGGCCGGATTCAGGAGTGGGCAAAGTGGGCAGCTGACCAGGGGCCTCCACAATCTGGGGGCCTCCACATATTACAATATTTTATTTATTTGTTTATTCAAATTTCTCAATGTTCTAATTTCCTCATATGGGTTCAAAATTCTCCAAAGAAGTGTTCAAATTTCAAAATTTTCCCGGGGGGCTTACAGCGCCCCCCGGAACTCCCGGATGTTTAGGCTCGCTTCACTCGCCACCCCACCCTCTTGGGTAGTTACAATAAGGGAGGGCCTCCACAAAGAGGCTGCCCATGGGCCTCCACAGGTCCAAATCCGGCACTGGTACTGGCACTGTTGCGCACTGTTGGCAAGTTTCTGGTCATGTACTGTATGCGTGCCTGGACGAAGCAGGACTCCAACCATGACATGTGTGAGATACGCGCATTTCCTACTTGATCTTATTCAATTGGAAATCGTCATATATAAATCTGTATGGGTTCAACTTATACTAACCAGAACAACAAACGGAAAGGACCTCACGTTACATTAAAACATAATTGTTGATATGTTATTGTATCAAGGTCTAGCAAAACATAATAAAAATGTTCATGCCTCTTCACACCGAGTGGCAATTTTCACACAATTATTTGGGGGTGATAACTGATGTGTGTGTGATAAGAGTACTTGAGAGAGTGGTATTGTGTGAGGCAGGCAGGGTGTGTAAACTGATAATAATATACTAAAATCATCATGAAAGTTCATATTTGGTTCAGCGTGCGTGTAGACACCACAGGTTTACTTAGACAATGCAGGTATACAAATGGCACATAGGCAATGGAGATATACAAACAATGTACATAGATAATATAGATATATAAACAATATTTAAAAAAAATAAGTCTAAACAAGTGTATCTCAAGAAAACCTAACCTAACTCAAGTGTCAGTAGAATCGTCATAAGTTAATTATTGTGAACTAATATTGTACAGTACTCGCTGACATTAATAATAAAAGAAATGTTTCGCTTTTAGAATATGAATAGAGGTAAATATGACGTGGTTGTTGGACTCACGTAGATAATGGTTAGGAGTCACATGGATAATGGTTGTTGAGAGTCACGTGGATAATGGTTGTTGGGAGTTACGTGGGTAATGGTTGTTGGGAGTCACGTGGATAATGGTTGTTGGGAGTTACGTGGATAATGGTTGTTGGGAGTCACGTGGATAATGGTTGTTGGGAGTCACGTGGATAATGGTTGTTGGGAGTCACGTGGGTAATGGTTGTTGGGAGTTACGTGGATAATGGTCG